TATATATATATATATATATATATGTATGTATATGTATGTATGTATATGTATGTATATGTATGTATATGTATGTATATGTATGTATATATATATATGTATGTATATGTATGTATATATATATATATATATATATATATATATGTATGTATATATATATGTATATATGTATGTATATATATATATGTATATATGTATATATATATATATATATATATATATATATATATATATATATATATATATATATATATATATATATATATAAAAGATCAAGATAAAATAAATGTGGTTTACTTCATAAGATTTATTCACATATGATGTAAACCAGGGTTAATGAATATTATTCTTGAAGAAAATACACACGTCAGATGAATGTGCAAGAAAATGCACACATCAAATGAAAAGTAAGGACTTAGAACTCGGCTTATCGGAAAGCCAGCTATGCCGTCATTGACTTTAGAACTGATAATTAAGCATGTTGTTATTTAATGAATTAAACGAACCTACACTATTAATATAATAGACAATTTTTTTAAGAACAGGTAGCCTCATGTAACATATATAGAACGTAATATTTTTTAATTAAACAGCATATTGTCTAAGGTATTTCTTAAATAAGTATTATATATGATAATTATTATTATCATATATAGTTACTTATTATTATTATTGTATATATCGTTACATAAAGCCAAGTAGTGTGGGACCCTGGATGAAGATAAAGACCAAGTGGGAAATCTATCATTGACATTTAAGACCTGCGCGGTCTTAAATGTAAATGATAGATTCCCCACTTGGTCTTTATCTTCATCCATGATATATTTTTCGTAAAACATGTATCATATATACCTCTTGCTTATGGCTTCCTTTCTTTTATTCACCTCTGCCATGTTTTCAATCTCCACCTTGAGTCCTTCTACTGTAATTCCATTCTGCGAAAATTCTTCCTGCAAGCGTTCTTTCATCCTTCCTGACTCATAATCTGCTAAGACTTCCAGAAATCTTTCGCCTGTAAAACAATGTAATCGAACATGCAAAGATCCTGGTCGTATACCTCGAACTTCTTGGTCATCTCGTTCACCACCAAGACCTCTTGTAACCGCACTCTCAATTAATGGTTTTAATAATTTATAACCAAAGTAAAGAGCACCTAGTGTAGTTACAGTCTTGCACAATTCTCGTGCTACTTGCACATTGTCAGTGCCGATGTTGATTGAAAAGTTACCACCAACAGGGTTCCACGATACACTAGCACTTAGAGCCTGCTTCCCTGCTTCCAAAAAAGCTGCCATAACAAAATTTGTCCTAGAAATTTAATTAATACAATAGAAATTGGTTAGCAGATAGCCACTATTAACTATTTGGGGTTTGTTGGGCTTTTAGCGTAGCTGGTCTTATAAAGTACCGACTGCACTTTTCTTCTGCATGCGTGTATATTTTTCTGTCCATTGCAAGCACATGTACGTACTTGTTACTTTACCTTCCGTACAAGAAAATGTGTGGCTTAACACGGTTTTTTAGACAAAAAAAGTCAAATCTGATAGTCTTTTCTTGTGTCCGTAGCAGGGGATGATATAGGAGGTCTCAGTTATGCTAATTGATAGTGACAGATATTTCTCGCTATGGTCTATATAACCAATTCAATAAGAAGGACTTTCAGATACCTGTACAGTAATAAGTAAAGTGTGAGGGGGCGGGGGAGTAAGGGAGGTTTGGGCAAAGAAATTGCTAGTAGGGGTGGGGATTTTCTATAAAAGTTCTTAAACTTATTGCTATATGCACGGCCTAATGAAAAGCAACTCGGTTCTGTATTTTAGCGTATTATGGTTGATTAGTTACCGTGTTAAAAGATTTTTTCTGTGTGGGTGTAATGTACTCAGGTGAATATGATGCCTGTGATGTTACTCTGAGTGTATATCCACACAGAAAAAATCCTGATTACTAGATTACATTGATATCGAAGGAACTAGATTCTGTTCCGAAATATCACATACTCGAACCGACCTGACCGCGTAGCACAGTTGGCAGAGCATTGAGCTAGTATTCCAAAGGTCGTAGGTTAGATTCTCACCGTGGCCAGGTATATTTTTCAAGCCTGTCCGGTGTGGATATACACTCAGTGTAACATCACAAGCATCGTAA